CCGCCAAACCGGGGGTAGGCGTAGCAGCACAACAACGGCTGACGAGAATCGACGGAACGACGAAGTTATCAGTCAGTAACAGAGTCATTACTAGTTCTGAACCGAAGAGGCAGAGAACGCTAAGCCCTTATAGCACGTCAAAAAACATCCTACGACAACGATACAACCAAAGAGAGCTAAAGGTCAGAAATTGGAATATATCCTCACTTAGAGGGAAAGAACAAGAATTAGTTGATAAGGCCAATAAGCACAAAACACGACATAGTTGGACGGCCGTCAACGAAACGCTAAGGCCCAGCAATCCTGAACCTCTGCGGGAGGAACTATTCCACTAAGGTGTCGATATCAGGACGCGAGCTCAGGTCGGTGTTGTTCTTCCGGCAGAACCCAACCTCACAGATAGAATCATTGATTGGACGTCTGTCAGCGGAAGGGCAGAAATCCTCCGAGAGAACGAAAAAAAGCTGAAGCACTGACCTTGGTACACGATTATATGTCCTACTTAGAGACAGAATATGATACCATCCTTGAGGAAGTGCAGTATGCTCTATCCGCCCTATTGCTCATGGGCGATTATAATGCGAATGTCGGAGTAGACGCTGAAAAGTGGAAAGGCGTCATTGCAAACAACGGCCCTAGCGACCTCAACAATAACGGCTTGAACTTGTTGCGGATTTCTGCAAACAACGAACTGACTCTTATGAACATCTTTTTCGAGCAAATATATGAAATGAGTCTGTTCGAGACTTCAGTTTTCTTCTTCCGAAGCTCAGACTGTTGCACAGGATCTGGAAGTTAGAAGCACTGTTTGATGCGTCTGCCTCCGCGGCCCGAAAGGAGAAGGGGTCATGGAAGATGAAAATGAACAGAGGCAATGCTATATGTATTAATGTATGCACGACCATATCAACAATTGCCACTGGTGGTCCAATTACGAGCGTCTCCCATCACGTCTTCTTTACTAAATCTATGTTGTTACAAATATTGACCATTCCTTTAGCGAATTCTTCAACGTTATCATCGAAGTACAAAGTTTCGTCAATTCTACAAATAAAAATAACAAATCGAACGATGACTACCTGGGACTGCATTTTTTCCTAACCAACATTTTTTACAATAAATCAACCTAAGTTTTGTTCGATACAACTATCGATGTTGAACATCACGCCTTC